CCCACATGTAGACAAAATTGAAAGATTGATGGATGGAAAATAACCTACCACTACCAAAGCATCTGGCCAGCTGCGTATGAAGACAAAGATGGAAAAACAATAATAGAAGAGCATCTAGCCAGCTGCATATGAAGCCAAAGATGATAAGGCAATAATAGAAGAAAAGATGCCACTTTGATAAAAAAGTAAAAAATGCATGTGAAGATGTAGACCCCAGGAGGAAAAGAATAGAGAGGTATGTGAGCCTTTTTCAAAATTCTGATGTATGTAATGATGTAATAGATCAATAATAATGAGTTTGAGTCATGTATAAATAGAGGTATTTGGGGAAAGAATGGCATCTCGAGTTAGAAACCATTCTCTTTCCTTAAACTTTTTTCAAAACCAATTTTTCTGGAAACCCCTTGTATACAATAGAAACCTTGTATAAATCATTATAGAAATAAAATTTCAATCTTTTGATATCAGAAATATATGAGTTTCTAAATTTCCTATCCCGTAGATTCTTGATAGATTGAAGAAGATAATTTCTTTCTTATTTTAACAAAGAAAGAATTTTCTTTACTTAAGATCTTTACTCTTAATTCTAAGAAAAGATACAGTGAGGGCAAGAAGCTGAAGTAGCAGAATTCCCATTGAGACAAGAGGCCATTTGAGGGAGCAGTTTGCAGATTCAGAGCTTGAAGGTCACTCGGTTCTAAGAATACAGATTTAAGATCAAAAGTGAGGTAAAATTATTGTCTTTGTTAAATTTAGAAAGAATTCTTCTAATATCTTGAAAGAATCGTAGGGATTATTACTTTTCATGTTTGCAAAAACTTTATATAACATGTTATTCATAAAGCTTGTAAGGAATTATCTGAATAATGCCAGGTTATACAATTAAAGGATTAGATAATCTGTTAGAAAAACTATTGGATAAAATAAGAAATATTTTTGCTCAACTAGAGATTATGAATATTTCATCTAAGGAATATGATAATCTTAGTAAATTACATGACAATTATATTACAGATTATTCTAATTTATTAGATCAAAGGATGGAATTATACATTAAAACTCGAAATGAGAGAAATAGGAGAATTTAGAACTATCCCAATAAATTAAGGATATCTTGTGCAAAATGTGACAAATCCTTTCATTAAGGGTATTATAGACATTTTACCAAAAATGAATAGTAGTAGGCCATTTATAAAAATCTCCCCTTTGATACGCTATTCACAACAATCAGATTTTAGGCGAGGCATAATAAAATGTTGTATACGTGCTCAAAGGTGTAAAATAGTTATTTGGGAACCAAATTAAACTTCTGGAAAAGGTTAAGGATGAAAATGCGTTCATATAATAGTTGGACGACCAAATTAAACTTTTATTAAAGCAGAAGGATGAAATTGCTTTCTATTAATAGTTGGATTGCCAAATTAAACTTTTATTAAAGCTGAATGATGAAATTGCTTTTTATTAAAGCTGAATGATGAAATTGCTTTCCATTAATAGTTGGATGACCAAATTAAACTTTTATTAAAGCTGAAGGATGAAATTGCTTTCAAATAATAGTAGGATGACGAAATTAAACTTTCGCTAAACTTGAAGGATTAAATTGCTTTAGAATAATAGTTTGATGACCTGAAGGATGAAATTGCTTTCCAGTAATAGTTTGATGCCCGAATTAAACTTTCGCAAAACTAAAGGATGAAAATTACTTTCAACTAATAGTTTGATGACCAAATTAAACTTTTGCAAAACCTGAAGGATGAATTGCTTTCAAGTAATAGTTTGATGACCGAATTAAACTTTCGCGAAACTTGAAGGATGAAATTGCTCTCCAGTAATAGTTTGATTACCCTATTAAACTTTCGCAAAACCTGAAGGATGAAATTACTTTCAAGTAATAGTTTGATGACAGTTTGATGACCGAATTAAACTTTCGCAAAACCTGAAGGATGAAATTGCTTTCCAATAATAGTTTGATTACCAAATTAAACTTTTGAAAAACATGAAGGATGAAATTGTAATAGTTTGATGCCCGAATTAAACTTTCGCAAAATCGAAGGATGAAATTACTTTCAACTAATAGTTTGATGACCAAATTAAACTTTTGCAAAACCTGAAGGATGAAATTGCTTTCATGTAATAGCTTGATGTTCGAATTAAACTTTCGCGAAACCCGATGGATAAAATTGCTCTCCAGTAATAATTTGATTACCCTATTAAACTTTTGCAAAACTCGAAGGATGAAATTGCTTTCGAATAATAGTTGGATGACGAAATTAAACTTTCGCTAAACTTGAAGGATGAAATTGCTGTAGAATAATAGTTTGATGACTGAATTAAACTTTTGGAAAACCTGAAGGATGAAATTACTTTCTAGTAATAGTTTGATGCAAAACCTGAAAGATGAAATTGCTTCCAAGTAATAGTTTGATGACTGAATTAAACTTTCGCAAAACCTGAAGGATAAAATTGTTCTCCAGTAATAGTTTGATTACCCTATTAAACTTTTAGAAAACTCGAAGCATGAAATTACTTTCAAGTAATAGTTTGATGATCGAATTAAACTTTCGCAAAACCTGAAGGATGAAATTGCTTTCCAATAATAGTTTGATTACCAAATTAAACTTTTGAAAAACATGAAGGATGAAATTGTAATAGTTTGATGCCCGAATTAAACTTTTGCAAAACTGAAGGATGAAATTGCTTTCAACTAATAGTTTAATGACCGAATTAAACTTTTGCAAAACCTGAAGGATGAAGTTGCTTTCAAGTAATAGTTTGATGGCCGATTTAAACTTTCGCGAAACCTGATGGGTAAAATTGCTCTCCAGTAATAGTTTGATTACCCTATTAAACTTTAGCAAAACCCGAAGGATGAAATTACTTTCAAGTAATAGTTTGATGACTGAATTAAACTTTTGTTTGACATTCCAACTATACTTCAACTGAAATTTCATCCTCCAACTATTAATTAGCTTCATTTTCGTCACCTGTCTTTTTTTTAAAATCAATTTCATCTTTCAACTTTCCCAAAGTTCAATTTGGTCATCCAACTACTATTTACATGTAATTTCATCATTCAACTTTTTCAAAATTTCAATTTGGTATCCAACTATAGTCTAATTTGATCCTCCAACTACTGGAAATGCATAACTTGACACTCTAATTATTAGAACCAATCAACAATCATCTTCCAACTAATATGAATATCTAAATTGGTCATCAATCTATCTTGAATATCAAAATTGATTCTCCAACTATTCATAAAATCTAAACTGGTCCCACAACTAAAATATCTAAATTGACCTCCAACTACTTGTGACACTTAACTTGATCCTCCAACAAATAGAGACATCTTAATTGATCCTCTATCTATTTAGAAACATCTACTTTAACCCTCAAATTACTATTTCAAAATCTAAATTGATCTTCAAACTATTTGGAAGATCTGAATTGATCCTCTAACTAGTAAAAAAAATCTAAATTGACCCGGCACTTTTAGGGGGTGTTTGAGAGCCATTTTTATGTAAAAATATATTTTAGAATAGTAACTTGATGTGAAGTGTGGTTGAAAAAGAAGGAAATTTTTTTGATTTACGTGTAATATTATTTTAATAAAGAATATGTGGTTGAAAAGAAAAAAGAAAAAAATGTATTTTGAAAAAAATGGGTACCAAACGGGGGCTTAGTAACAGACAGCTATATTGATCCTCCATATAAGAAAAAGATTTAATTTGATCCTCTAACTATTTAAAAACATCAATTCGGGTATAGGCAACTTTAATTTAGTCCTCCATCTATTAGAAACATCCAATGGAAGCCAAGAATGTGACAGCCCACAATCGAAAATGCAAACTTTTTGGGAACTATACTGCCACATAAAGTTAAAGACCCTCGTTCGTCCCCTCGAAGATCTTTTAGCCCAAAATTCGATCCAAAAAAATATGTTCCCGCGACCAACTATCCACCTGAACATGCCATGGATGCTGGCCTTTATAGTATTTATTTTCGAGGAATTTGTTCCCAAGTAGTCATGTCATTGAAGACTGATTTTTTTACTTTATTTTTTATTTTTTTCCCTGTGCTCCACAACAATTCCAAGTATTGAAAGACACAGCATATAAAAGTTCAGCACAAGATTTCATTTCCAACCAATACCACAAGTGGCAAAGAAGCCACAAAGAATTTCTCAAACCATTGACATCGAAGTTCCAGCTAACATCTGTAACACCATAAATTTTCACAACCCCGAGAATAATGAAATTTATCAAGAAACAAATTAAATTGAACTGGTTAATCACCAAGTTTCTCTGCCTTGCTATAATAATCACACCATTACCATTATCAAAAAACATTGGAACCAGAATGAAGAAAAACATGAAAACTATACACAATCATCTTGCTGTTTCGTAAGATCATTCTCCAACTTTTATGCTCAAAAATAGCAAATACCATACGTAAATATAAACTGCTACACTGGTATGACATCAATCTTTGAAGTGTCCTCACATCTCAAAACAATGCCTTCAAGACTTGCAGGAAGAATGCATTTACTCCATTGGCATCCGGTTGAGAAAGGTTCTGGTGGCGGAACAATCATCAGAACGTTATCATTCCGTTGCACGACTCCCATTACGCTGACAGTGCTACCTTCTTTGATGTACCTAATCATAATTCACAAATAGGGTAAAGGTCGACTGAGTATCAAGAATTTCTAAAAACCAAACAGCATAATTATTAAGATGCATAAGCTGTGAATGAACAATATAACAATACTCTTCTTGACCTACTTGGCCGTGTTGGGGATTAAGCCTTAATCCCAACCCTAAGATCAATAAACAAATCCACAGATTTATAGTAGTTCACCGTCGATGTGAGAGCTATGTTCACTTATCACTGCAGATTTTTCAGTATATTAAAGAAGGAAATTGCAAGACTTCTCTCAAACCTCGTTGTGTTATCACCGCTAAAAAACAGCACCCAAAAAGCCAACAGGTTGCATTACAAAAATGTACAGCTGTAGATACCCTTGCTTGTTTTCACTAGTCTCTCCCATTTTCTCAACAAAATTGCGTGTTTACGTCTGACCACTCAAGAACAACATGGACAAATGTACCATAGTGAAAATAATTAAAACCTTACCCTTCTTTTAATCTCATTATACGATCATCACTTGAAAGTTTTCTTTCTCCGAGCCATTTAAAGAATTCAGGAGACATATTCCTATTTGATGGATTGATGTCAACAACAACAGATTCATCAATATAAGGGGTTACCCTTGCACCATATCCAGTCTTGACCAATGCCCTCAACCCAGACTGGAAATCGGAAATATAGAAATCAACCACATGTCTCTGTTATCATGCAAAAAGAAAAAAAAAATGATTCAGCCATTTTCATCAATGCCATACAACAGCCATCGTAAACAGAAGAAATTTCAATAACATGGTAGCATAACACGCGTACTTAATACACGGCAAATTTAATCTTTACTGGCACCCATTGGCAGTGCAAAAGTAAGAAAGAAAGAATGACCAAAAAACAGTCATACAGGAGGAGAGAGTGCAAGAATTTACTTACAAGCAATCACTTAAAACCCTTGAAATCATGCATCATTAAAAAAATATATAACTCTAGAATCAAATTTCTTAACTACATCTCACACAACACGAACGTTCCCCATAAATTATTGGTTGGCTTCATGAATCATGTTTTGCCAGTCTATTTAGTTCATTACTAGATGTGCACTACATAGCAACAATTATAGTCCTTGTTACTTTTGGTCCACCCCTCCTGCCCTCCCTCTTTTACCCTCTTTGGGTCTAAGCAAAGCTTTCCAACCACTTAATACATCCTTACCTTAATTTAATCTCTTTTGTAACACCCAAAAATGTTAGGAAAAAAAGAAAAATATATTATTCGTTTCATATGCTATATTTTTATTTTAAAATACAGGACTAAAATGAAATAGGTTTTAAATTCCTATTTTAATTGGGCCAAATAGTTAGATTTTGATAGAGCAAGATTTAATATATCGATATTGGAATCATTTTGTAGCTTGTAATTAATTACGTGTTTTCAAACCAAGAAAAAGTAAATTTGGATAAGTTAGCCCAAGATATCGTATTTCTAAGAATGGATGTTTTTGTGTAATTAATTGGGTTGGTAAGATTTTGTGATGTCGGCCACATGAGTTATTTTCAGATAAATAAATAGGATCCTAATCTTTTTGAAACTCGTTCCTATCCAATTTCTTTATAGCAATCGTAAAATTTTAGGATTAATTCATTTGCTAGCAATTAGGCGTCACATTATCCCAGAATTTGTTTTCCTCAGTTAACTTAGTTAATATAGGATTTTTAAGTCTTAATCATATTTAGGCAACGGAATTTTAGAGGTTAAGACTTAATGTAAATCTTTCCACTTGCTAAACCAATGGAAGCCGTCCACTACCTACCCACAATTTGTGATAAAACCAAAGATAATAAAAGGCCTTTTTTTTTTTTTTTTTTTTTTTAAAATGTTTTCCTCAGTTAACTTAGTTAATATAGGATTTTTAAGTCTTAATCATATTTAGGCAACGGAATTTTAGAGGTTAAGACTTAATGTAAATCTTTCCACTTGCTAAACCAATGGAAGCCGTCCACTACCTACCCACAATTTGTGATAAAACCAAAGATAATAAAAGGCCTTTTTTTTTTTTTTTTTTTTTTTAAAAAATTAGAAAAAAATTTGTGGGTTTAATTTTTTTTTTAAAAGGGGGGGGGGGGGGGGGGGGGGGGGGNGGTCTCATATCAAATGCAATCAGGAATCCAACTCCTTTAAATAAGTGTACGACCTTATCTAATATTTAATAGTCATGGAGGGATAATGATAATTTAACTGTGATTAAATCAATCAAATTTTTGGTTGAGATAAAACTTATCTACTACTCTAGCCTGCACCTATATATAGCTCACAGTTCCCTAGCAATCCCACAGAAAAAATTTCAGAAAGCTTTATCTAAAGAAAGTAGAAAGATCTCATAGAAAACCGTCCCATTTGGCCTTTGAAATTAGAAAACAGGAAGCCAATTTGCAACCATTATTCACTGAAGCAAAGATTTCTAGAAAAGATTTTGGGCACGTGCATTCATATTTTGTTCAATAATTCATTTATTTAAAGAGGAAAAATACTTTTGTGCAAGTGGTTCGTTTCCATACGCTTTTATATTCAGTAATTTATGCATGAATTGCCAGTGGAACTTCGGGTTTTTTAGGAAAAGATATGAAATCATACGGGATTTCAAGAGGAGCTAGATGGGTGCGTCGCTTGGTCACCAATATATTTCATAAGAGAAGAGTGGTATGAAGTGTACAATTTATTTGTTATATAAATTGTGTTTGGAAATTGCACGTGTTTTACGAGGTATTTTTAATACTCACCCTTACAAAATTTTACAAGTTAGTTCGGATCGATTAGAACTATGACGGGACAGTGATACAAACTGTCAAGTGGATCGAAGGAAAAGAAAAAAACAAACATTTAGTCGTTTTTTTATGTCTTTAAATTTATTAGTTAATTTTATTTGCTCAAGGACATGTTTGTTAATTAGTTAATTAATTGTGCTTAAATTTTAGAAACTCAGATTCCACGTTTTAATTGATATTTATGGTTGAAAATGAATAATTACTTTTATTTGTGTCATTCCACATCTAATACAAAGAAAATTAAAGTTTTCGTAACACTCCAGAGTTTATAAAAGTTTGGGACGTTACATCTTTAACTGCTGATGTAGGACAATCCTAATAGAAATTGGTTAGAAGACACTTATTACTATAGTAGGATTTTTGGTTCCTTTTAAATTAGGATTTAATTTTCTTTCTTTTTAGTAACATTGTTTAGTTTCCTTATTTTAAGAAGATTAGGGAATAACTTTGCCTATGTAAACCAACGTTTTTTATTCTTTTTCAATTATCAATTCATTACAATTAAATTATTCTTTATAGATTTTTAAGTTTTTCTTATTTTAAGAATTTTAATTCCGCTTCCCAATCAAAATTGATATCAAAGCAAGATTTTACCCTTGGCTGATGATCAATTATAGTGGTAGTGGCATGCATCTTCAAGGAGTTTAAAACAATCCTCGGTCTACAATCTGGAAAGAAAGATGTATAGGTCCAAAAATGCTGATGAAAAAAAACTGTAACTTTAAGTGCTATCATGTTGGTCGCTTCGACGAGCCAAGAAGTAGAGATTCCTCGTGTCCCAGTCAGGTTTGAATACTCATAATGGGGATGATAGAAATTTTGAAGTTTTTTTTCTTTTTTGTCCAAATTGATAAATTTTTTCTTCTTCAACCAAACTTAAGGATGGAGTTTTCCAAATAGGATATTAATTATTTATTATAGTAGGATTTTGTTTCTAGTTTAAATTAGGACTTTTCTTTCTTTTAATTCTTTTAGGTTTCTTATTTCTACTTCATTTAAGTTTTTAGTTTCTTTTCTTTTATGATATTTTTCCTTACACCGTTAGGATTAAGAGTTTAGTTCCTCCTTTGCCTATATGAGAAGGGGTTGGGCCCTTCGAAATAACCAATTCATTAGAATTAATTATTCTTTATAAATTTTCGAGTTTTTCAACTTTCTTCTTGTTCCAAGAACGTTAATTCCGCTTCTCCTCAGAGCTGCATGTCTACTGAATCTAGTTTTTTTCTGGATATAAGAATTTCAAACTTTTCTTGTTCTCTTCGCATCTGCACGCCACAATAAACTAATTCTTTTACGTGGAGATATAGAACTTGAATTTCTCGAAGCCTCGTTGATGTATCATATCATTCATATGGATTCTTTTTCAAGAAGTGGTAGTTCTAAAATGTTAAGCTTTGTGTTCTTGGACAGTATTTGCTTTAAAATTTCTCTACTGCAAACTTTTTCATTGAAAGGTCACTTAAAACTTAATTTTCTTTTCATGGTATTTTTTTTTTTTTTTTTTGGCTAAAGTTGTTACAACAACACTTGAAAAAAAATGATTTTGACTTATAAGAATTAAAAGTGGATTGTCTTACCTTTTACATTTTGTAACAAGTGATGGCCTTGGAAGTATTACTTAATATTTGATTAACGTAGAGTACACGAAGTTAGTAAATTGACATTATCCTAATTTTTTATGTTGTCTATTAAAAAAATTAATAAACTAGATCTTGTTTAAAATAAGTTAAGGGTAATTGCCATTTTTTTTTAATTTGTTTATTTCGCTCTTAGATCTATAGAAATATTATTTAGAGCACGTTTGGCTCTTAACACATTTCGTTTACAAGTAAATAGGTAATTTCAAACAAAGTAATCAGAAATAAGTTACTTATTCTAGTAATTTCTCATCCGTCGCGGCCACCATGAAATTGGTTGTTATCTATTGTTGCCCATCTCCAATTCCCACCAGTGCTTAGCTTATGATAAGTCATTATCACTTTTAAGTGATACATGTTGTCCTGGGTATGTATATGTGCGGTAAAGATTGTTTGTATGTATAATAAAGAAAGAGGCAAAGTTTTGATTCGCAGGGGCGTCATCAAAACGCAAGATACAAGAATAAAAGTATAGTATAAGTACTACAAAAATTCAAAATAAAACAGAAAGAAGAAGAAGAAAGAAGACAATTCTAGGCAAGTAATGACACTTTCTCTTTAAGATGATATTTCCCCGCTACGGTGCTCAAGCTTCATGGCACTTGTCTCCTAAGACACAACGGATTCTTTAAAATTGAACTCGACTTGCATGTTATATAAGAATTGTTTCTTTAAACTTTTGTTTAATATCGGCTTGACAAATGATGTTATGGACCTCAAGAATAGTATGTTTCGTATAAATTGTTTAAAACTCATTTTTTCGGAACTCATTTCAATCATACGTTCTTTCAATAATATAATTTCCTTCTTTGATATACCTAATTATAATTCACAAATAGGGTAAAGGTCGACTGAGTATCAAGAATTTCTAAAAACCAAACAGCATAATTATTAAGATGCATAAGCTGTGAATGAACAATATAACAATACTCTTCTTGACCTACTTTGCTGGGTTGGGGATTAAGCCTTAATCCCAACCCTAAGATCAATAAACAAATCCACAGATTTATAGTAGTTCACCGTCTATGTGAGAGCTATGTTCACTTACCACTGCAGATTTTTCAGTATAATAAAGAAGGAAATTGCAAGACTTCTCTCAAACCTCGTTGTGTTATCACCGCTAAAAAACAGCACCCAAAAAGCCAACAGGTTGCATTACAAAAATGTACAGCTGTAGATACCCATGCTTGTTTTCACTAGTCTCTCCCATTTTCTCAACAAAATTGCGTGTTTACGTCTGACCACTCAAGAACAACATGGACAAATGTACCATAGTGAAAATAATTAAAACCTTACCCTTCTTTTAATCTCATTATACGATCATCACTTGAAAGTTTTCTTTCTCCGAGCCATTTAAAGAATTCAGGAGACATATTCCTATTTGATGGATTGATGTCAACAACAACAGATTCATCAATATAAGGGGTTACCCTTGCACCATATCCAGTCTTGACCAATGCCCTCAACCCAGACTGGAAATCGGAAATATAGAAATCAACCACATGTCTCTGTTATCATGCAAAAAGGAAAAAAAAAAAAATGATTCAGCCATTTTCATCAATGCCATACGACAGCCATCATAAACAGAAGAAATTTCAATAACATGGTAGCATAACACGCGTACTTAATACAGGGCAAATTTAATCTTTACTGGCACCCATTGGCAGTGCAAAAGTAAGAAAGAGAGAATGACCAAAAAACAGTCATACAGAAGGAGAAAGTGCAAGAATTTACTTACAAGCAATCACTTAAAACCCTTCAAATCATGCATCATTAAAAAAATATATAACTCAAGAATCAAATTTCTTAACTACATCTCACACAACACGAACATTCCCCATAAAGTATTGGTTGGCTTCATGAATCATGTTTTGCCAGTCTATTTAGTTCATTACTAGATGTGCACTACATAGCAACAATTATAGTCCTTGTTAATTTTGGTCTACCCCTCCTGCCCTCCCTCTTTTATCCTCTTTGGATCTAAGCAAAGCTTTCCTACCACTTAATACATCCTTACCTTAATTTAATCTCTTTTGTAACACCCAAAAATGTTAGGAAAAAAAGAAACATATATTATTCGTTTCATATGCTATATTTTTTATTTTAAAATTTAGGACTAAAATGAAATAGATTTTAAATTCCTATTTTAATTGGGCCAAAATAGTTAGATTTTGATAGAGCAAGATTTAGTATATCGATATTGGACTCATTTTGTAGCTTGTAATTAATTATGTGTTTTCAACCCAAGAAAAAGTAAATTTGGATAAGTTAGCCCAAGATATCGTATTTCTAAGAATGGATGTTTTTGTGTAATTAATTGGGTTGGTAAGGTTTTGTGATGGCGGCCACATAAGTTATTTTCACATAAATAAATAGGATCTTAATCTTTTTGAAACTCGTTCCTATCCAATTTCTTTATAGCAATCATAAAATTTTAGGATTAATTCATTTGCTAGCAATTAGGCGTCACATTATCCCAGAATTTGTTTTCCTCTGTTAACTTAGTTAATATAGGATTTTTAAGTCTTAATCATATTTAGGCAACAGAATTTTAGAGGTTAAGACTTAATGTAAATCTTTCCACTTGCTAAACCAATGGAAGCCGTCCACCACCTACACACAATTTGCGATAAAACCAAAGATAATAAAAGGCCTTTTTTTTTCTTTTTTTTTTTTTTAAGGAAAATAGATAAGAGTTTGTTGGTTTAATTGTTTATAATGATAATTTAACTGTGATTAAATCAATCAAATTTTTGGTTGAGATAAAACTTATCTACTACTCTAGCCTGCACCTATATATAGCTCACAGTTCCCTAGCAATCCCACAGAAAAAATTTCAGAAAGCTTTATCTAAAGAAAGTAGAAAGATCTCATAGAAAACCGTCCCATTTGGCCTTTGAAATTAGAAAACAGGAAGCCAATTTGCAACCATTATTCACTGAAGCAAAGATTTCTAGAAAAGATTTTGGGCACGTGCATTCATATTTTGTTCAATAATTCATTTATTTAAAGAAGAAAAATACTTTCGTGCAAGTGGTTCGTTTCCATACGCTTTTATATTCAGTAATTTATGCATGAATTGCCAGTGGAACTTCGGGTTTTTTAGGAAAAGATATGAAATCATACGGGATTTCAAGAGGAGCTAGATGGGTGCGTCGCTTGGTCACCAATATATTTCATAAGAGAAGAGTGGTATGAAGTGTACAATTTATTTGTTATATAAATTGTGTTTGGAAATTGCACGTGTTTTACGAGGTATTTTTAATACTCACCCTTACAAAATTTTACAAGTTAGTTCGGATCGATTAGAACTATGACGGGACAGTGATACAAACTGTCAAGTGGATCGAAGGAAAAGAAAAAAACAAACATTTAGTCGTTTTTTTATGTCTTTAAATTTATTAGTTAATTTTATTTGCTCAAGGACATGTTTGTTAATTAGTTAATTGATTGTGCTTAAATTTTAGAAACTCAAATTCCACGTTTTAATTCATATTTATGGTTGAAAATGAAGAATTACTTTTATTTGTGTCGTTCCACATCTAATACGAAGAAAATTAAAGTTTTCGTAACACTCCAGAGTTTATAAAAGTTTGGGACGTTACATCTTTATCTGCTGATGTAGGACAATCCTAATAGAAATTGGTTAGAAGACACTTATTACTATAGTAGGATTTTTGGTTCCTTTTAAATTAGGATTTAATTTTCTTTCTTTTTAGTAACATTGTTTAGTTTCCTTATTTTAAGAAGATTAGGGAATAACTTTGCCTATGTAAACCAACGTTTTTTATTCTTTTTCAATTATCAATTCATTACAATTAAATTATTCTTTATAGATTTTTAAGTTTTTCTTATTTTAAGAATTTTAATTCCGCTTCCCAATCAAAATTGATATCAAAGCAAGATTTTACCCTTGGCTGATGGTCAATTATAGTGGTAGTGGCATGCATCTTCAAAGAGTTTAAAACAATCCTCAGTCTACAATCTGGAAAGAAAGATGTACAGGTCCAAAATGCTGATGAAAAAAAATTGTAACTTTAAGTGCTATCATGTTGGTCGCTTCGACGAGCCAAGAAGTAGAGATTCCTCGTGTCCCAGTCAGGTTTGAATACTCATAATGGGGATGATAGAAATTTTGAAGTTTTTTTTCTTTTTTGTCCAAATTGATAAATTTTTTCTAATTTAATTGTGTTAAATCAATCAAATTTTTGGTTGAGATAAAACTTATCAACTACTCTAGCCTGCACCAATGTATAGCTCACAGTTCCCTAGCAATCCCACAGAAAAATTTTCAGAAAGCTTTATCTAAAGAAAGTAGAAAGATTTCATAGAAAACCGTCCCATTTGGCCTTTGAAATTAGAAAACAAGAAGCCAATTTGCAACCATTATTCACTGAAGCAAAGATTTCTAGAAAAGATTTTGGGCACGTGCATTCATATTTTGTTCAATAATTCATTTATTTAAAGAGGAAAAATACTTTTGTGCAAGTGGTTCGTTTCCATACGCTTTTATATTCAATAATTTATGCATAAATTGTCAGTGGACCTTCAGGTTCTTTAGGAAGAGATATGAAATCATACAGGATTTCAAGAGGAGCTAGATGGGTGCGTCGCTTGATCACCGATATACTTCATAAGAGAAGAGCGGTATGAAGTATACAATTTATTTGTTATATAAATTGTGTTTGAAAATTGCACGTATCTTACGAGGTATTTTTAATATTCACCCTTACAAAATTTTACAAGTTAGTTCAGATCGATTGGAACTATGACGGGACAGTGATACAAACTGCCAAGTTGATCGGAGGAAAAGAAAAAAACAAACATTTAGTCATTTTTTATGTCTTTAAATTTATTAGTTAATTTTATTTGCTCAAGGACATGTTTGTTAATTAGTTAATTAATTGTGCTTAAATTTTAGAAACTCAGATTCCACGTTTTAATTGATATTTATGGTTGAAAATGAATAATTACTTTTATTTGTGTCATTCCACATCTAATACAAAGAAAATTAAAGTTTTCGTAACACTCCAGAGTTTATAAAAGTTTGGGACGTTACATCTTTAACTGCTGATGTAGGACAATCCTAATAGAAATTGGTTAGAAGACACTTATTACTATAGTAGGATGTTTGGTTCCTTTTAAATTAGGATTTAGTTTTCTTTGTTTTTAGTAACATTGTTTAGTTTCCTTATTTTAAGAAGATTAGGGAATAACTTTGCCTATGTAAACCAACGGTTTTTAATCTTTTTCAATTATCAATTCATTACAATTAAATTATTCTTTATAGATTTTCAAGTTTTTCTTATTTTAAGAATTTTAATTCCGCTACCCAATCAAAATTGATATCAAAGCAAGATTTTACCCTTGGCTGATGATCAATTATAGTGGTAGTGGCATGCATCTTCAAGGAGTTTAAAACAATCCTCGGTCTACAATCTGGAAAGAAAGATGTATAGGTCCAAAAATGCTGATGAAAAAAAACTGTAACTTTAAGTGCTATCATGTTGGTTGCTTCGACGAGCCAAGAAGTAGAGATTCCTTGTGTACCAGTCAGGTTTGAATACTCATAATGGGGATGATAGAAATTTTGAAGTTTTTTTTCTTTTTTGTCCAAATTGATAAATTTTTTCTTCTTCAACCAAACTTAAGGATGGAGTTTTCCAAATAGGATATTAATTATTTATTATAGTAGGATTTTGTTTCTAGTTTAAATTAGGACTTTTCTTTCTTTTAATTCTTTTAGGTTTCTTATTTCTACTTCATTTAAGTTTTTAGTTTCTTTTCTTTTATGATATTTTTCCTTACACCGTTAGGATTAAGAGTTTAGTTCCTCCTTTGCCTATATGAGAAGGGGTTGGGCCCTTCGAAATAACCAATTCATTAGAATTAATTATTCTTTATAAATTTTCGAGTTTTTCAACTTTCTTCTTGTTCCGAGAGTTTTAATTCTGCTTCCGCACCAACGTCTTACACGGTTAAATGTTTTTACTTGAGGTTTCTCAAACTGTATTCTCCCGTATTGTCAACACTGAGACAGGGAATGCAGTACACATGAACCTGGCTGTTACATCATTTGACAACTTATGTTTAAACTTTTACAAAAGCTGAGTCGGAATCTGGAAATATCCAAGAGATTATACATAAAAGTTTTCCCTGTGTATATGAGAGAAATGGAGGGTGCATTGGGAGGAAGATATCTTACCTGACCTGTGTCATTATAAATAAAGAGAACATGTAGAAGCATGATAAGTCATGATATCTTTCCAAATAAAAACCTAATGCATCCAATGCAGGCATACTTATCTCAAACAGGATAGATCAAGATAAACACATCAATGCTGATCCTGTCTCACCTCTAATGCACGAAGACCCCAGGTAAAACGACGATGCGTTGGGTTTGCAGCTTTTGAATCCCATCCCCGGTACTCGTACAAACTTGAGGATGTATAAACACATCTTGGAACCTTTTGGAATGATGATTCAAGAGGAACATTTCCACAGGTCACAACCTGCAAAACGTTAAAACTTTTATTTGTTAGGGCAATGCATCATGTAGGTTTGGAAGTTTACTGTGCAAAATTCAGACGGGATTCCAAGAAAACATCTCCTTCCTTGCCAAAGTGCAATTCAAAGAATATGCTGCCTATATACATCAAGATATTATTCTATACAAAATTTAAGGCTAGAGAAGTGCTTATATGATCCTCAAGAATTAAAGCACTGCAGATTCAAAAGCTCTTTTGTATAAATATGCATAGTAGAATATCAAAGTGTTTGTAGCATTTTATTCTACATAGGGAAGATATTATCAGAACCACAAACGACTTAACAATTTTTTGATATATTTTCAACTTAATAACTGTCATATCTAAAAACAAAACACTTGTCTTCTTATCCAACTAGATCATCGTGTCCAAGACATTGATTATTCACCTCTGCTTTCTATTTTCTTTCCTTGTCTTTCTCACCATTTTTATCCACATATCAGAAGCCAATGCTTTAGTGCTGAGAATTAAACAAATCTGTCTTGTTAAAAGAATGAACATAGAAAATTAACCCATCTTCTAATACTTGTATACTGGATGACCCAAGAGAATGCTTGAACTTAGAGAACCATAAAATTTAAGAAATTCATCAGCAACTAGACTCCATCAAATCTAAAAAATCTCATTACTCAGTATACAAAAATTCGATAGCTCCAAACCCTTGAAAGGCTCCTAATAATCAATGATAGTGTAAGGATTCAGCATGGGAGCATAGGTTCCTCAATTAACTTCCTAAAAAAAAAAAAAAAAACCAATGTTAAGTTGTTAACATTCTCGAATCTCGACTGTAGGTTTTTTGACCTGTGCTTTGGAATCATGATCATGTAACGGACAAATAATGATACCAGAAAAGTATAATTGCTAGTTTAATTTACTGAATCGCTTTCTTTTGGGTGAGTTGGAGGGAGGGATGATATGTCTGATGGAGCATACCCCAGAAACTTTGACAAATTGGCCGTCTTTTGCAGTTCTTAACTCGGCATCTGGATAACTAGCTATGAAACCAGTAATAGCTCTTCTTCCCCAAAAAGTATTCCAGGTAAACACTGTAGCCACAGCAGCAAAAAGTACAACAACGACAACGAGAAGAATGGGGTTGCGAACAGCCCCAAGTATGAAACCACCAGCAATAAATCCCATCATGAATAGAAGTATGATGGACCAAAGGATTGCCTTCGGGAAGCTCTTGCGGAAAGAATACTCATCATCGGAGCTAAGACGTGTAACAGCCTGGTTGTTGACTATAGCATTGTGCCGTTTCATTGATCCTGTAGACTCCAAAGGACCAGATGCCTTCCGAGGAGCCCCTGCAGAATTCAGTGGGCCTGAAGTAATAGGTCCAGATGTAATGAGGCCCGTTGTCGGAAGAACTGGAGGAATAGGACCAGAATTTTGGCGGGAAACAGCAGCTCCACCTCCACCTTGAGGACCAGATGACTTTTTCAATGGCTCTCCATGTTTATTAAGAGGACCAGAATTGGTCTTCTTCAAAGAAGCAGATGCAGGAATGCCACCAGATGAAAGAGAACCCACCCGATTGCTAGAATTTAATTGCCCCGATAGAGATGCAGAACCACCAAAAGATCCTGTCCTTGAAGGAGCACTGTTAATGGGACCAGATTTTCTAGATCTGGAGCCATCCATAGGTATAAACATTTTACCAAGTTCTCCAGACTTTTTGATATCACCACCAGTGTATGGCATGGCAACTGAGCTCATTGTGGGAGTTTTTTCTTTTGGCTGCTCAGGCCGGCCCGACACGTAAAGGCCATTACTCAACTTATGAGATGGAAACCGTGAACCCATATGGCCTACTACTACTTAACAGAAGCCAAATGAACAATATGTAGAGAAAGATATCCAGCAACCAACTTTATATTCAGCCAATCAAAACTCAATAACAGGGATCCCAGCTTAACCTAACACGCCTACTTCCACAGGAGCATTATACCTAAAAAATGAAACAGAAACAGGACTCTGATGTAAATACAGATCCCTTTTAAAAATGGAAAA